GATTGGCCAGAACTAGTCACGTGGTCCCCCTCAACCCAGAGAGCCAGGAAATGCAGCCTACCATGTGCCCTGAAGGCAGACAGCAGGAAATAGTTGGTATGCAGCACAATCCAACTGCACATGGGGTGTACAATCACATGTACGCTAGGTCCGGCTGGTGTGGTTCAGTGGTTGTGTCAGCCTATGAACCAGGAGGTCACAGTTGGATTCCCAGTCAGGGCACATGCCCGGGTTTGGGGCTCGATCCCCAGTTGGGGGTGTGCAGGAGGCAGCCGATCCATGATTCTCTCTCATCATTGATGTTTCTCTCTCTCTCCCTCTCCCTTCCTCTCTGAGATCAATAAAAATACATTTTTTAAGAAGCGTTCTCCTGATGGGTGAATGGAGACCCATGTCCCTAGAATTGCAGCCCCCACCCCTTCCTAGCCCTGAGGCCCTAAGCAGCTGCCCAGCACAGCCCCTGCTCCTCACTGCTCTCCTAGTCGCCCGCAGGGGTGTCTGGTGACTCTGCCAGGTGAGTAGACCAGGTAAAGGGGAACCCCCAACACTTCCATTTGCAGTTCACCTGGACTCTGAGATGAAGCCAGTTCCTTGCCCCAAACCACCAAGCTGGTCCCCCCAAGGTGGTCCCCCACCAAGCTTGTCCCCCACCAACCTGGTCCCCCCCCCAAGGTGGTCCCCCACCAAGCTTGTCCCCCACCAACCTGGTCCCCCCCCCAAGGTGGTCCCCACCAAGCTGGTCCCCCACCAAGCAGGGACGCAGAGCATTAGGTCATCTGGTAGCTTTGGGCGGAATCTGCAAGCCCCACCCTCCAGGGAGCAAGCCTGCAGAGTGACCCCAGGTCCTGAAGGTGTAGCGAGAGCAGACGCCTCCCTCCCGGGAGACACCCCAACTCTAGACCCAGCAGGTCGTTGGACAGGAAAACCTTCCAGAAGCCCCTTCTGGCTAATGGACGAAATGAAAAGCAAGTTCACTTCATGCTGGTCAGGTGGGTGTTCTCCAAGCGAAAGGGTCCCATGGCTGCTGTCCGCACCATGAGGGGGGGACCTCAGTGAGTCCTCCCAGAGCCGCCTGATGGACGAGGAGTTAGTCCTTGTTTGCCCTGAATATCTGACACCTCGCCAGATGCAGCCCACTTGGCAGCTTGAAGGAACCAACTGGTTTTTCTCCTTCATGAGCTGGGATTTCAAGTCGACAGTTTGAAGAACATAATTGGGCAGGAACCAAGCATAAGGGACACTGGGAACCTGAGGTTAATTCTCTAAACACTGACTGTGTGTGTGTGTGTGTGTGTGTGTGTGTGTGTTTTCACTGTTTTGAACAGACATCTTAAAAAATATCACTATAGTCCCCACTCTCCTTGTTGTCTTTTCCTTTGTTGTTGTTGTTAATCCTCACCCGAGGATATTTTTCCATTGATTATTAGGAAGCGTGGAAGAGAGGGAAAGACCGAGAGAACCACTGATGTGAGAGAAACACATCGATTGGTTGCCTCCTGCACGCGCCCTGACCAGGGCCCAGGCCAGGGAGGAGCCTGCAACCACGGACGACTGTGCGCGCATTTAACCAGAATCGAACCTGCGACCCTTTGGTCCGCAGGCCAACGCTCTAACCACTGAGCAAACCGGCCGGGGCTTATTTGTAGTCTTCTCTTTCTTTTTTTGTTTCTTACTCTTAACCCATCCAAGTCCCTAACTGCCAGCCACGGAGCGGGGACCGTGACTCAGTGCGCGCCATGCTCAGTGCCAGCTGCGCCGGTGCCCTCTGACTCGGTCTCCACGTCTCCGCACCGTCGGAAACCTGTGGTTGCGCAATGTTTGAATGCGTTCATGCTTCCAACGGGGCTGCCAGGTTTCGCAGATAAAGACACAGGCTACCGAGTCCAAGCTGAACTTCTGATCAACAATGGATTTTTTTTAGTGTAAGTATATCCCCAATGTTGTAGAGACTAAACACTTATGCCCTGTGTATCCGACATTTCAGGGAAGCGAGGTGTCCTAAGTGTTACCTGGCAACTGCAGCGCCCTGTTGGCTCTGGCTGTCCTGACGCTGACAGGTGGTTCCCTTTGTCTGTCCTTCCGCTGCCAACGTTTTGCCTGTGAGCCGTTTCCACAGGGAGGCCGAAGCCGCCCTCTGCCCCTGGCCCCAGGCTGCCGGTTCTCTCTCTTCTTTCGCGGCCATCTCTGTTTTTACCGATACGTCTTTTATAAATTTACTAGAGGCCCGATGCACAGAAATCGTGCAAGAGTTGGCCTTCCTTCCCCCGGCTGCCGGCACCGGCTTCCCTCAGGCACCTGGGACCTGGGCTTCATCGGGATGGTTGTCGAAGGACATCTGGACTGTAGTTCCATGTTTGGTCGATTTGCACATTACGCTTTTATTATTATAGGTTATATTGATGTCAGAGAGGAAGGGAGAGGGAGAGAGGGAAAGAAACATCAAGGATGAGAGAGAATCACGGATGGGCTGCCTCCTGCACGTCCCTACTGGGGATGGAGCCCGCAACCCCGGCCCGTGCCCTGACCGGGAATGGAACCGAGACCTCCTGGTCCAGAGCTCGACCCTCAACCCCTGAGCCACAGGGGCGGCCTCCCTGGGACTGCTTATCCCCGGGCTCCCTTCGCTGGTTCGCTGGCTGCCACCTGTTCCCGCCTCGTTTTTCTCCCTGGGCAGCTAAGCGCGGTGGTTCTAGAGCTTCAAGGCGGACACATTGGGGTTGAATCCCACTCCCGGCTCGCAGGGAGGGGACCTGGGAACAGGGTGTAGGGTCTGGAGGCCCCAGGGCTCCTTCCCCAAATGCAGGGCGAAGCCTGCCTGGCGGCGAGGGCGAGGGCTCCGAGCTGCTGCGGGCCCACTGCCCGGGCGCACCCCGCACAGCTCCTCATCCAGAAAGGCGCTCCCCCCGGTGGCCCGGCTCGGACGGGCTGGGCCCGGGGCTGCAGCTCTGGCTGCTCCCGGACGCGCCCCGGGAGCCCAGCCCAGGAGGGCGGGAGGCAGGTGCCGGACCCGCCCGGACCCAGCGGCGCCAGGAGAGCCGGGCAGGGGGACGGATCGGAGCCCGGAGAGGTGAGCGCAGGGGCCCAGGGCGCCCCAGGCGCTGCGGGGCGCGGGGGGAGCCAGGGCCGGGAGGGAGGGGGGAGCCAGGGCCGGGAGGGGGAGGGGGCGCCGGGTCCGGGCCCCCACGAGCCTGGCCGCTGCCCTGGGCGGCGCGGTGGCCCCGCCCCCAGGCCTTTGCCCCGCAGGCCGGGCCCTTCCTCCCGCGGAGCCGCCGGCGGGCGGGGCGGGGGGCCGTGCGGAGGCGGGAACGGCGGGGCGCGGGCGCGGCGGCGGCCGGAGCGGCGGCGGAGGGACCGGCACCGGAAGCGCTGGCGGCGGGGACGGACGGGACGGCGGGCGGCGCCGCGCGGCAGGGGGCGCGGGGGACCCGGCGGGCACGGCAGCCCCGGGCGCCCAGCCGAGCGGGGCAGGTGAGCGGGGCGGGGGCGCGAGTGACACGTTGCGGCTCCCGGGCGACGTGCGGGATGTGCGGGCGGAGGGGGAAGGGCCCGGGGGCGGGAACCGCCACGCGTGGGAGCCGGGGCGAGGGGGCCGGGCGGGGGGCGGTCCCCATGACCCCCGGTGACCCCCGCGCCCCCGGTGGCTCCGCCCGCCGCCCCGGGCGCCGCGCTGAGAAGCCGCAGAGGCTGCCGGAGGTGGTGAGGCTGGTGGGGGGGCCCGGCCAGGTGAGGTCCGGGTGGGGGTGGGGGGGAGGGAGGGGTCGGGGCAGGTGAGGTTCCGGTCGGGGTGGGGGTGGTCCCGGCCAGGTGAGGTCCTGGCCAGGGGCCCCGTAGGAACGGCGGGGGGCCTGCCGGGGCGGAGGCTGTGGGTTCCCGTTCCCTTCAGCCACCGGCGGCAGCGGGACGGGCTCCGGGAAGGGAGGACCCTGGGGACGGGCCGGGCCTGGCCGAGCCGCTCCCATCCGCTCGCTCTCGGGCGGCACTGGAAAGCGGGGCTCAGGTAGCCGTTTCGTTCTTGGACCCCTGGGCCCGGACGGGTGGGGTCGGGGTGCCTCCTCGGTGCCCTCCCGCCGGGTCTCCTGCGCGGCCACTCCGCTCGGCCCTTCATTTCTCGCGCCCACGGCCCCCGGCTGAGCCTGGGAAACCGCATCTCCGCTGTGACCCGCGCAGGAGCGGGGCCGCCGGACCCCCGCTGCCGCCTGCGCCCGGCCAGCCCCTTCCTCCCCCACGTGCTTCCCGCAGCCGCAGGCCAGGCCTCCTCTGGCCACTGCTCGCCCGCAGTGAAGAAACCCACATCATCAGGGCGGCCTTCAAAGCTGCGAGCTGTCACGGCTCCATCAGACCAATGTGTCCCTTTCTCTTTTGGTTTTTAAATGGTTGTCCCTCGCACAGCCTCAGTGTCAGCCCGACCGACCGGGTGGTTGCTTTGAAATGTCATTTCCGAGCCTGCGCCCCGCTGCCTTGGCCTTGGCCGGCGACACCCTCCCTCCCCTCCCAGGCCGCCTCCCGCACCTGCCGTCCTGGCGGAAACATGCTGGTCCCTGGAGGCCTTGAGTGCCGCCCCTTCTCATCCGCTCTCCGGAGGCGACCCCTAGTCCAGCACATTCTCTCTGTGTGTCCGGCTTGATGAGCCTTACACTCGCGAAGGTTGCATTGTGCCATGGTTATTTGAGGGACTTATCCCTGCGAGAATGTAAGCGGCTTTGTTGTTTATTGATTTCAGAGAGGAAGGGAGAGGGAGAGGTAGAAACATCAATGATGAGGGAGAGTCATTGATCTGCTGCCTCCTGCACGCCCCACACGGGGGATGGAGCCCCCAACCCGGGCCTGTGCCCTGACCGGGAGTTGAACTGTGACCTCCTGGCTCATAGGTCGATGCTCAACCACTGAGCCACGCTGGCCGAGCTAGAACATAAGCTTTTTAAGAGAAGTAATTATATCTTTTAAGTTTCTTTAGCACTTTAATACTTGAGCACAGCATTAAAGAGATTAGACTCAATAAATAATTATTAAAGCATAGAATTTAATGAATCACAGTCAAACGCTCGCCGTGCTCCCGGAGGAAGGGCGCTCCTGTGTTGTGGTGTGACCTGGCTTCGGACTTTCATTAACAACCTTCTCTTGAAAGCGCTTTTCCGTCCCATGTTTTAGTCCTTCATTTGCTGCTAGAGGTCAGTTTTTGAGATAGCATTGTGATTCTCCTGTAGGAGGAGGAAAGTAATTTTCTCTCTGCTCCTCTAAGTTCTTAGCTGAGACCCCTATAATAAAAGACAGGTTACCTAGAGGAAAGCAGAAGTTGATAAGCATGCAAGCTTAAGGTCAATGTGAACGGGCGGCCTAACTTAGGCTTCAGCCCGCTAACGAGCAAGGGCATTCCAAGTCTGCGTGCTTGGTCCTGGGGTCCAGAGGCTCACGGTAATGCCGCTGGGCTGACCTCAGAGGATAGAGTCACGGAGAGCTGCCCCCGGAACCTGCACACACTCAGCCTGAGAGCCTCCTGGAGTCCTGGCCTGCCGCAGGCCTGCCCTCAACCTTATGCCCGTCCTCACCTGGCACCACCTGGAGGGCGTGGCGAATGTGTTTGAGTTTAGCCACGTGGGCATAATTGAAAAGAGGCCATAGTTTCCTGTGCTGTTGTCCTGCTGCCCTGTGACCTGGCCAGACTCTTTCTGGAGTTATTTGAGTGACACGCGTCTTTCATGCTGGAGGATGCGCCCCAGGAAGAAACAGATCCTGTGTGTCTCGTTCATGGTTGTGTATCCGCAGGAAGTGCCTATGAAATGCGGGTGGCAGGTGTGAGCCTCTACTGTGTCCTGCTCCCCGTCTCCTCAGTCCGAGCCTTTCCGAAGGGCCGGTGCTCGCGGGCCCACCCGTGTCTCCACTCCCGCCTGCTCTTTGCGGGACACGGGGAGCTGCTGCCTTGGGCTGCGTGGCAGGAAACCAGTGGGAAGTGGTGGGCAGGAGAGACGGGGGGGCGAGGGTCCCTGCGACAGTTTGTCTTCCCAGTCGTTGGCTGGACGGAAAGAGTACGACCGAGCACTTTTTAATCTAAAAATGAAAATATAAATATGATATGTTTATATAGCTGAAGGAATATTGATTTTACCTGAATGTGTGATGCAGATTCTGCAGACTGGAAAACCAAGGTAAAAATTAACTCACAGAAAGTTGACATTATGGTATATAAACAGTCACCTGACACCTGGAGGAAGAAAGGGAAGGAGAAACAATGGAAAGTTGTCTAATTCAGACGTCCTAGGGACCGGAAATCCGCAAAGATTAGAGCTGGGCGTGGTGTTGGGCAGGCTTACACTTTCCTCTGAGCACTTACGAGGGAACTGAGTTCGTGGAAGTTTTCGTTTCCATCATAGAAAGAAAACTGAATATCCCAATAGTGTAAATTACCTGACTCATTTATTGCACTTTTACAAGAAATAAGATTTGGGGGTTTCCCCAGGACTGCCATGGATTCCAGCGACAAGGTTTGCTTGCCCCCTTCTGAGGAGGCTGGTCTCCTGCGAGGTCTCTGGCCAGCTTGTCCTCTTTTCTTCACCTTTCAGCGTCTCCTGGTACTGGCTTCAGTGTCCGGTCCAGAGCAGAAAGAAGGGGGTGGAACGTACATACTCCATCTTGTTTGAGGCCTGATGGCTCTTACTGGCTTTTTTAATGTATCAGTTGATGTCTTTTCTAATTTGTTTATTTGCCCTGTTTATTTTGTTTTTCAGGCAGATGCAGATAAAACAATGTCTGCCAACCTCAAATACCTTTCCTTGGGGATCCTGGTCTTCCAGACGACCAGCCTGGTGCTCACGATGCGCTATTCCAGGACTTTCAAGGAGGAGGGGCCGCGGTACCTGTCCTCCACGGCCGTGGTGGTGGCGGAGATTCTGAAGATAATGGCCTGCGTTCTACTGGTCTACAAAGACAGCCGTAGGTATCCAGGTTGTTGTTTGTAAGTCATTGAAGTTTATTTAATTGTTTGGTATTATTTATATATGGCGTATACGTAAATACATGTTGGTAACTACACATCTGAACACTACTGCATTATCTAATACCCTAGTATATTCAGAACATTTCAATATTTGTCATTTTATTAAGACCGCCTTTTTTTTAAGATTTTTTTAAAATTGATTTTTATTAGAGAGAGGGGATGGGAGAGGGAGTGAGAGAAAGAAACATCAATGAGAGAGCAAAACATCTATCGGCTCCCTCCTGCACGCCCCCTGCCGGATGGGACCCGAAACCCAGCACGTGCCCTAATGGTGAACAACCTTTGTGTGCACGGACAGCACCCACTGAGCCACAGGGGCCAGGGCTCCGAGTAGAAGGACATACGGATTGTGCTGTTCTTAACATGCTTCCTGATAATAGTTAACATTGGAAAAGTTAGCCTCATTAAAGGTATTGTTTAGACCTAAAGTGTCTCAACATGTAGCCCAGTATCCTTCCTCAAAAGAGAACACTGCGGCCTAGAGAGAGGGTGCTAGTACTCAGCGTCACTCGGCGCCTGATTTCACCTCTGCATGTTTTTCCTAGAATGCAGTCTGAGAGCACTGAATCGAATCCTGCGGGATGAGATCCTTAACAAGCCTATGGAAACGATCAAGCTTGCTATTCCATCCGGGATATACACTCTTCAGAACAACCTGCTCTACGTGGCGCTGTCCAATCTCGACGCAGCCACCTACCAGGTGCCGAAGGCGCATTCCTCGGGTCCTTGTAACCAGCGGACCCTCGGCCATGACTCACGTTCGCTGTTTCCTCTCCCAGGTCACGTATCAGTTGAAGATCCTGACGACGGCTCTGTTCTCTGTGTCTATGCTGGGTAAAAAGCTGGGTGTGTACCAGTGGCTCTCCCTGGTGATTCTGATGGCCGGAGTGGCTTTTGTACAGGTACCTGTTCAAGATAAGCTCTCCTGTCTATGTCGCAGTTCCACAGCCTTGTCTTCTGCGCAAGGACAGGTGGCTCTGCTGTCTAGTGAAGCAAATCGATGCTTATCCTCCCCGCTGAGACTTTTGAGAGCTTCCTGTGGGCGATACATTGGGGCTGTGCCTGGTGCTAAGAAACATGTGAAAACCCAATGGTCTGACGCGAAGAAGTGGACCAGCTAGTTAGGGACTAGGACACTGTTGTGTGGAGGGAAGCTAATTGCTAGCGGGTCCCAGGAGCTTCGAGGTGACGGAGACTCCCTCCCGCCACCAGCGCCCCAGACCATTCCTTCCGCTCTTCGCCCCTCTTTCTCACGGCTCCTCGCGGGTTTCCTCCGGGTCCTTTTGCTGGATACTGACTTGGGGACCTGGTCCCCAGTCAGCTTGTGATTTCCTTAGTTATGTCCTTACTTGTGGAGATGCCACCATGTGGAGCCTTCTATTGGCACGCCTGCTGGAGGCTCCTGGCTCGCGGCCGGCAGCTCTGGTTGTCGCCCGCGGTGTCAGATTTGTGTATCTAACCCTGCTGGGCAGCGTGGCTGGGCTCTTCAATTGACCTGATAAACGAACTTGACCTCTTGCCCCCGCTCCTGTCTCTGTTTCTGCCAGTCACTCTTACTCAGCCTGGGGTGGGCCTGGCCTCTCCCTTCTGCCTGGACGTCCAGTAAGACTTCGCTGCTCTGCCGCTTGTTCTCCCAGATTGTGTCCTGCCTGTCTGCACCTCGCTGCCCTGCTCCTGCCTCCTGTTTCTCCTGTGGCCGTTTGGCTCTATAAAAGTACTGTCGTTGTGGGGTGAAAAGGATGTTTTCCCCTTCAGTCCTGACCGCCCCCCAAATTCAGCCTCCATGCAGTCACCGCCGTGGTCTGTCTAAGAACAATTCCAACCCTGTCGCGTTCCTGCCACTCAGAGGCCCCGCAGCACTTTCCCAGAGTGTAGTGTGTCCCTTGGATAAATCTTTTCTGTATTTATTTTAAACTAGAGGCTCGGTGCACAAAAATTTGTGCACTCGGGGGTCCCTCAGCCTGGCCTGTGCCCTCTTGCAGCCTGGGACCCCTCGGGGGATGTCCACCTGCTGGCTTAGACCCACTCCCTGGAGGGATCGGGCCTAAGCTGGCAATCAGACATCCCTCTGGCAGCCCGGGAGCCCTTGGGGGATGTCCACTTGCCAGCGGGGAGCAGGCCTAAGCTGCAGTTGGCCATCCTTAGCGCTGCTGAGGAGGCGGGAGAGTCTCCCGCCACCACCGCTGTGCTGGCAGCTGGCAGCCTGGCTTGTGGCTGAGCAGAGCTCCCCCTGTGGGAGCACACTGACCACCAGGGGCAGCTCCTGCATTGAGCGTCTGCCCTCTGGTGGTCAGTGTGTGTTATAGTGACCAGTCATTCCCAGTGTTTCTGCTGTTAGGGTCTATTTGCATAATACTCTCTTATTATATAGGATAGAGGCCTGGTGCACGGGTGAGGGCACGGCTGGTTTGCCCTGAAGGGTGTCCTGGATCAGGGTGGGGCTCCCGCTGGGGTGCCTGACCAGCCTGGGTGAGGGGCTGAGGGCCGTTTTTAGGCTGGCCACCCCCCCTTCAGGGTGGAGGTCCCCACTGGGGTGCCTGGCCAGCCTGGGTGAGGGGCTAAGGACTGTTTTCAGGCTGGCCACACCCCTTTTAGGTTAAGGGTCCCCACTGGGGTGTCTGGCCAGCCTGGGTGAGGGGCTGATGGCCGTTTTCAGGCTGGCCACACCCCCCGGTGACTCAAGCTCCCAGCCTCTCCTTTTTTTCTTTTCTTTTTTTTTTGGCGGACTGGAAGCAGGTATCTGGGATTTATTTATCTTCTACAATTGAAACTTTGTAGCCTTGAGCAGAGCGAGGGCCAGCAGGGCAGGTGGGAAGCTTGGCTTCCTCCATCGCGGGGGGCAACCCAAGTCTCCTGCTCACTCCAGCTCCGTGGCCACCGCCATCTTAGTTGGGTTAATTTGCATACTCGCTCCCGATTGGCTGGTGGGCATGGCTTGAATGTAGCAGAGGGATGGTTAATTTGCATGTTTCTCTTTTATTATATAGGATGGGTGTTGGAAAATACAACTGGCTATCACACCCTTATTTTCACAGATACTGCTTAGGATAGGCTAAAGTAGATACTCAGTTTACAAAGTGAGATATTTTAAATTAAAATATCAAGTAATGAATCCAGGTGGAACATGGGTTTGACAGAGACATTAAAGATGAAGGCAAGTGCCCTGGCTGGGAGCTCAGTGGTTAGAGCATTGGCCCACACACGGAAGGGTCTTGGGTTTGATTTCTGGTCAAGGGCATGTACCTGGGTTTCAGGTTCAATCCCCGGCCCCATACAGGGAGTGTGTGGGAGGAACCAATTGATGTGTCTCTCTCACATCAATGTGTGTGTGTCTCTCTCTGTCCCTCCCACTCTCTAAAGTCAATGGGAAAATATCCTCAGGTGAGGATTAAAACAGAACAAGACCATAGGCAAGTAAGTGGTCTCAGGAGCGCTGAGGGCAGGGTGCAGCCCAGATGGTGGATGGTGAGCAGGGCCGGGGTGCAGAGCAGGGTCGGGGTACAGGTGAAGGCCGGGGTGAAGGTCAGGGCCGGGGTGCAGGGGATGGCCAGGGTGGAGGGGAGGGCCGGGGTGCAGGGCAGTCCCAGGCTCCCTTAGCTACTCCACACTTCACACTCCGGGTCTCGGCGGCCATGGTGCTTGGAGAGGCCGCTCTGAGCCGCCGCAGTCCGTCCCTTTCTCTGTCTCAGGCTAGGCTGAGACGAGTAGTCGCCACAGCAATACCGCTGTGGGGTGAAGTAAGACGGTTCTAAGGTTGTCTTTCAGAAGCTCCTCCGCAGCCCCCAGGGCTAGCGTGGTGGCATTTTCGCCTCCGGGTCTGAGCGGGGCTCTGTGCACGGGGAGCTGCGCCGGAATTGAACTGTGCTGTGTTCCTTCGCCCAGTGGCCCTCGGATACCCAGGAGCTGGACTCGAAGGCGCTCTCGGCCGGCTCGCAGTTTGTGGGCCTCATGGCCGTCCTCACGGCCTGCTTTTCCAGTGGCTTCGCTGGGGTGTACTTCGAGAAAATCTTGAAAGAAACCAAGCAGTCGGTGTGGATCAGAAACATTCAACTGG